ACATTATTGTAATAACATTGTGATGCTGTGTTTAGAATATAGGCGAATTTCAACATAAAAATATTCTGTACTCTTAGATCGACCCAAACCAAACTAGGGAATAGGAAATGCCTGTGAAGTAAATGCGAAGGCTGCGTGGTGTGGAGGCATGGCATCCACATCAAGTGCCGGAGTCCGTGGTTCAGATCCCGATGAAGGCTGTGATTTTTAACTTGGACTTCTAGTAATTTCCCTTGGTCTCTGGGTAGTAAGCTCGGACGCCCGCGTATATTGTCGCGCACGTAAAAAAATCCCTTGGCAGTTGGAAATCGAAAAGAGTAGCCTAACAGCGCGGCCCAGGCTAAATTTGGAGCTAAAAATCTACCCAAAGCATTTCAGGATCCTCGCCGATGCAACGGAGTTCGTGCGATGCGCTGAGATTCTTCAGACTCGGGCTTGAGTTAGACGTAGAACAGGGCACTTATGGGTTACACCCGTTTGCCATAATGTTGATCCGTCGAATAAACCAATCAACTAATGTGAATTAAATGCGACACTTGATGTTGACAGTGAGAACTACCTTGCGCTGTGTTGTCTCTAAATATATGGGCCAGCAAAATATGCCTGATGCTTTTGTCGGAATGGAAAAGGCCCTTTAGTAATTTACTTGTTCAAGGAAAAAAAAAAAAAGAATTTTCCAAAACCATTTACGAGAATTTTCCTACACCGTATACTTCTGGTTTTTTTTTTTTTTTTTTTTTTTTTTTTTAAATTTTTTTAAATCCCCAACAAATGTAAAATAAATCGATGTCCTAGCTATGAAACAAATGTTAATAGAGACTGAAAAAAGAAACAAACAATAGAATCAAATATCACAAAGAAAAAAGGAAAGAGAGATACTGATGATGAAAATATACTAGAAAGAAAGAAAGAAAGAAAGAAAGAAAGAAAGAAAGAAAGAAAGAAAGAAAGAAAGAAAGAAAGAAAGAAAGAAAGAAAGAAAGAAAGAAAGAAAGAAAGAAAGAAAGAAAGAAAGAAAGAAAGAAAGAAAGAAAGCAAGAAAGAAAGAAAGAAAGAAAATAAAAAGAAAGAAAGAAAAAGAAAGAAAGAAAGAAAGAAAGAAAGAAAGAAAGAAAGAAAGAAAGAAAGAAAAAGAAAGAAAGAAAGAAAAGAAAGAAAGAAAGAAAGAAGAAAGAAAGAAAGAAAGAAAGAAAGAAAAGAAAAAGAAAAGAAAGAAAAAAGAAGAAAGAAAGAAAGAAAGGAAAGAAAGAAAGAAAAAGAAAGAAAGAAAGAAAGAAAAAAAAAAGAAAAAAAGAAAGAAAGGAAGAAAGAAAGAAAGAAAATGAAAACAGAGGGATTTAAAAAAACAGCGAATTATACATAACTGTTATTTAAAAAAAATGAAATATTAATGAAAACCAAGCAGTGAATCATCATAGTATGTCTGGCCAGCTGGTGCTGCAGAGTCGCAAGTTTAACAAATGATTCATGACAATTCCTGCCCAAGTGATGTGGTTATCTATACAGATGGCTCTGTGTTGAGGGGCAGACGAGGTGTATGGGGGTTTATAGCAAAGGCGAAAGGACGTCGCTTGGTGCAGCAAAGCCTGGCATATGATATCACAACGTGTAGTTTGAGAATAGAGGTGGAGGCAGTCACTGCTGCCCTCCGCTAGCTTGAGAATCAGTTGTCCACACATGCTGTCATTGTAACTGACTCACAGAGCATGGAGATAGGCATGCTCCGTGCAGGACGGCAAGCATCACTTCAGAGGTCCCGGTAGTTAGCATCTTTTGCATATTTTGTCCAGGCCATGTCGGTGTGTTGGGAAATGAGCAGGCAGATAGACTACAGCACTTGGTGGTGAACTGATGTATGACAAACTGGATGTTGTGAGGGATCTTTGGGAGCGATTGAACAGTGTGGAGGCACAGCTATGTCATTATGGTCTGGCAAGAATGGCGCTGCGAGGAGTTACAAGAGGATCTGGTCAACGCTCGACACTCAAGGGAAAGGCGAGACAGATATGCAATCAGACAGTTACTGTGCTATCGGAATTGGAGCTCTTCGCTTGCTGCTGAAGATGGGGACGGAGCACTTATAGAAGCATCCCGAGTGCTGTGATGTCGATTCTTAATTCAACATTCAAGTATACGTATGTAAACATTAAACACAGTTAAAAACAAATGAGAAAAACATATAAGTAGAATAGAAACTGACGAATATGTAAAGAAACACCAGAAATGTAGATCTACATCGGTCAAGAATCAACAAGAACAATAACACTGTGGCATTCATTTCTAACTGGGGAAAATATCACAGATTGGGAAACATTATGACCGGAAGTTGGTTAATTTGCCGGAACTGTGACCAGATTTCTGCTTATAAAAAGAAAGCAGACCATATTTTTTTCCCAAAATTCGAAAACGTCTTGTTGAAATGTATAAGTTAGTTAATAAAATAAATCAAGGAGAATTGAAATTAGAAACACAATAGCGGCGACGTTTACACGAGGTAAACTTTCTGAAGTCTCGACATAAGACATTTTTGTAACATGTGACTGGGGCTTGTAGTCGGATTCAGTTTAAAATGGTGACAAGAAGTTTTCTGGGAAGTAAATTCAGCAGCATGATACAGATTATATTACTGATCTGTATCCATTTGTTAGCTACACATGTGTCGTTTGGGAGCATGTGCGCCCAGAAACCAAATATGTGTGTGGGTTGGGGGCGGAGGGGGGGGGGGGGAAGAGGTGAGTGTTGAATTCGGGAGAGAGGCGTTCTATGTACCTCGGAGACAGGGTTGATAAAAAGGGGGCGGGCGGGGGGGGGAGGGTAAAACGTTCTACGCACTTTTTAACAACGTTAAGACACAGATAAGTGGTAATTTAACGCTGTATATAAATTTTAAAAACCCTACAACGTATTGATGGGCACTCATAGAAGAACGTAGAAATACAGAAAAGTGGCGATAAATACACTTTCTATTTATTTATAATATATTATGTTTATACGGCCTCAAGTGTTTTTCCTTCTGCTTATTTATGTGTGTTACTTTAACACTGTCTGCCTACAAGTAATCAAAAGTTTACATTTTGAGAACATGCGTCTTCCCTCTAGCAACATACAGAAGCGAGTTGTGGACTACCTCCCATCTTCTCTCTAGCAACATACAGAAGCGAGTTGTGGACTATCTCCCATCTTCTCTCTAGCAACATCCAAAAGCGAGTTGTGGACTATCTCCCATCTTTCCTCTAGCAACATACAGAAGCGAGTTGTGGACTATCTCCCATCTTCCCTCTCTACAGAAGCAGTTGTGGACATACATCTTCCTCTAGCAACATACAGAAGCGAGTTGTGGACTATCTCCCATTCTCCATCTAGCAACATACAGAAGCGAGTTGTGGACTATCTCCCATTCTCCCTCTAGCAACATACAGAAGCGAGTTGTGGACTGTCTCCCATCTTTCCTCTAGCAACATACAGAAGCGAGTTGTGGACTGTCTCCCATCTTTCCTCTAGCAAAATACAGAAGCGTGGACTATTTCCCATCTTCCCTCTAGCACATACAGAAGAACTAACGCGAGTTGTGGACTATCTCCCATCTCCCTCTAGCAACATACAGAAGCGAGTGGTGGACTATCTCCCAGTGAGTTGTCTCCCTCTAGCAACATACAGAAGCGAGTTGTGGACTATCTCCCATTCTTCCTCTAGCAACATACAGAAGCGAGTTGTGGACTATCTCCCATCCTCCCTCTAGCAACATACAGAAGCGAGTTGTGGACTGTCTCCCATCTTCCCTCTAGCAACTTACAAAGACGAGTTGTGTGGACTATCTCCCATCTTCCCTCTAGCAACATACAGAAGCGAGTTGTGGACTATTTGTCTCCCATCTTCCCTCTAGCAACATACAGAAGCGAGTTGTGGACTATCTCCCATCTTCTCTAGCAACATACAGAAGTGAGTTGTGGAGCGATTATCTCCCATCTCCCTCCCTCTAGCGAACTTACATACAGAAGCGAGTTGTGGACTGTCTCCCAGCCTCCCTCTAGCAACATACAGAAGCGAGAGTTGTGACTGTCTCCCATCTTCCCTCTAGCAACATACAGAAGCGAGTTGTGGACGAGTTCTCCCATCTTCCCTCTAGCAACATACTCTAGGACTTTCTCCCATCTCCCTCTAGCAACATACAGAAGCGAGTTGTGGGACTCCCATCTTTCCTCTAGCAATACAGAAGCTGTGGACTTTCCCATCTTCCCTCTAGCAACATACAGAAGCGAGTTGTGGACTATCTCCCATCTTCCCTCTAGCAACATACAGAAGCGTGGACTATTTCCCATCTTCCCTCTAGCTACATATAGAAGCGAGTTGTGGATATTTCCCATTTTCTCTCTAGCAACATTCAGAAGCGAGTTGTGGACTATCTCCCATCTCTTCTCTCTAGCAACATACAGAAGCGAGTTGTGGACTATTTCCCATCTTCCCCCTAGCAACATGCAGAAGCGAGTTGTGGACCATCTTCCACCTTCCCTCTAGCAACATACAGAAGTGAGTTGTGGAATATCTCACACCATCGCTCTAGCAACTTACACAAGCGAGTTGTGGACTATTTACCATCTTCCCTCTAGCAACATACAGAAGCGAGTTGTGGACTGTCTCCCATCTTCCCTCTACCAACTTACAGACGCGAGTTGTGGACTATCTCCCATCATCCCTCTAGCAACATACAGAGGCGAGTTGTGGAATATCTCCCACCCTCCCTCTAGCAACATACAGAAGTGAGTTGTGGAATATCACCCACCCTCTCTCTCTAGCAACATACAGAAGTGAGTTGTGGACTATCTCCCATTCTCCATCTAGCAACATACAGAAGCGAGTTGTGGACTATCTCCCACCCTCCCTCTAGCAACATACAGAAGCTTGGACTATCTCCCATCTTCCCTCTAGCTACATACAGAAGCGAGTTGTGGACTATTTCCCATTCTCCCTCTAGCAACATACAGAAGCGAGTTGTGGACCATCTCCATCTTCCCTCTAGCAACATACAAAAGCGAGTTGTGGACTGTCTCTCATCCTCTCTCTAGCAACATTCAAAAGCGAGCTGTGGACTGTCTCTCATCCTCCCTCTAGCAACATTCAGAAGCGAGTTGTTGACTATTTTCCATCTACCCTCTAGCAACATACAGAAGCGAGTTGTGGACTGTCTTCCATCTACCCTCTAGCAACATACAGAAGCGAGTTGTGGACTATTTTCCATCTACCCTCTAGCAACATTCAGAAGCGAGTTGTGGACTATTTTCCATCTACCCTCTAGCAACATACAGAAGCGAGTTGTGGACCATCTTCCATCTTCCCTCTAGCAACATACATAAGTGAGTTGTGGAATATCTCACACCCTCCCTATAGCAACTTACAGAAGCGAGTTATGGACTATCTCCCGTCCTCCCTCTAGCAACATACAGAAGCGAGTTGTGGATTGCTCCCATCCTCTCTCTAGCAACTTACAGAAGTGAGTTGTGGAATATCTACCACCCTCCCTCTAGCAACATACAGAAGCGAGTTGTGGACTGTCTCTAATCTTCCTTCTAGCAACATACAGAAACGAGTTGTGAACTATCTCCCATCTTCTCTGTCGCAACATACAGAAGCGAATTGTGGACTGTCTCCCATCCTCACTCTAGCAACTTACAGAAGTGAGTTGTGGAATATCTCCCACCCTCCCTCTAGCAACATACAGATGCGAGTTGTGGAATATCTCCCACCCTTCCTCTAGAAACTTACAGAAGTGAGTTGTGGAATATCTCCCACCCTCCCTCTAGCAACATACAGATGCGAGTTGTGGAATATCTCAGACCCTTCCTCTAGAAACTTACAGTAGTGAGTTGTGGAATATCTCCCACCCTCCCTCTAGCAACATACAGAAGCGAGTTGTGGACTGTCTTCCATCTTCCCTCCAGCAACATACAGAAGCGAGTTGTGGACTGTCTCCCATCTTTCCTCTAGCAAAATACAGAAGCTTGGACTATCTCCCATCTTCCCTCTAGCTACATACAGAAGCGAGTTGTGGACTATTTCCCATTCTCCCTCTAGCAACATGCAGAAGCGAGTTGTGGACCATCTCCATCTTCCCTCTAGCAACATACAGAAGCGAGTTGTGGACTGTCTCTCATCCTCTCTCTAGCAACATTCAAAAGCGAGTTGTGGACTGTCTCTCATCCTCCCTCTAGCAACATTCAGAAGCGAGTTGTGGAATATTTCTCCATCTTCCCTCTAGCAACATTCAGAAGCGAGTTGTGGACTATTTCCCATCTTCCCTCTAGCAACATTTAGAAGCGAGTTGTGGACTATTTCCCATCTTCCCTCTAGCAACATACAGAAGCGAGTTGTGGACCATCTTCCATCTTCCCTCTAGCAACATACATAAGTGAGTTGTGGAATATCTCACACCCTCCCTATAGCAACTTACAGAAGCGAGTTATGGACTATCTTCCGTCCTCCCTCTAGCAACGTACAGAAGCGAGTTGTGGATTGCTCCCATCCTCTCTCTAGCAACTTACAGAAGTGAGTTGTGGAATATCTCACACCCTCCCTATAGCAACTTACAGAAGCGAGTTATGGACTATCTTCCGTTCTCCCTCTAGCAACATACAGAAGCGAGTTGTGAACTATCTCCCACCTTCTCTGTCGCAACATACAGAAGCGAGTTGTGGATTGCTCCCATCCTCTCTCTAGCAACTTACAGAAGTGAGTTGTGGAATATCTCCCAGCCTCCCCCTAGCAACATACAGAAGAGAGTTGTGGACTGTCTCCCATCTTCCTTCTAGCAACTTACAGACGCGAGTTGTGGACTATCTCCCATCCTCCCTCTAGCAACATACAGAAGCGAGTTGTGGACTGTCTCCCATCCTCACTCTAGCAACTTACAGAAGTGAGTTGTGGAATATCTCCCACCCTCCCTCTAGCAACATACAGATGCGAGTTGTGGAATATCTCCCACCCTTCCTCTAGAAACTTACAGAAGTGAGTTGTGGAATATCTCCCACCCTCCCGCAAGCAACATACAGAAGCAAGTTGTGGACTATCTTCCACCCTCCCTCTAGCAACATACAGAAGCGAGTTGTGGACTATCTTCCACCCTCCCTCTAGCAACATACAGAAGCGAGTTGTGGACTATCTTCCACCCTCCCTCTAGCAACATACAGAAGCGAGTTGTGGACTATCTCCCACCCTCCCTCTAGCAACATACAGAAGCGAGTTGTGGACTATCTCCCACCCTCCCTCTAGCAACATACAGAAGCGAGTTGTGGACTATCTCCCACCCTCCCTCTAGCAACATACAGAAGCGAGTTGTGGACTATCTTCAATCTTCCCTTTAGCAACATACAGAAGCGAGTTGTGGACTATCTCCAATCTTCCCTCTAGCAACATACAGAAGCGAGTTGTAAACAATCTCCAAGTACTTAAAAAGAAAATAGGGACTTTTGAGCTGAAAGGCTATAGAAAGAGTCTCAGAATATCATGGACAGAGAAGAGGAGAAATGCTGACATTTTAAAAGATCAGAACATCAAGGAAGATTGGCTAATAAACAGCATCTTGTCTCAGAAGCTGAAATATTGTAGTCATATCAAGCGCCACGGCAGACTGGAAAAAAAATATCAGCACAAGGTAAGGTGCCAGGAAGGAGGGGGAGGGGTCGACCGACACGATGGTGGGCACAAGATGTAAGTGATTTCTTGAATGTGAAAGTACACGACGCGGGAGAGCTGGCGAGAGACCGAGTTTCTTCCAGGCAGACCGTGATGAGAGCGACGTTCTGCAAAGTACCTGCTACACGATAATCCTAAAGCATCA